GAAAGGAGAAACAATGTAACTGGAGTTGAACAAACTGATTCTCAGCCTTTTTTCAGGACTTAAATTCTGAAAGCTATTTGTTTACCATTGTTTATTATACCATTTTAAGCTATATGTTGGTTCAAAATCTGTAGCTAACAGCAACAGCTGTTCAGCTTTTTTCAGTTCTAATGCAGAAATTTGAACCCATAAAGTAAACCAGTTTTTGGCCCACTCATTTTTCTAGCATATTCTAAAGAAATAAATGCAAACTCAAGCCATTCCTAATAGAGTGAATCCGATAAAAAAATTAGTTTGTTTCTCATACTGTATCACTTAAAATTTAGAGGAATCCGTCTACTGAAATTAGAAGCAGAATTTTTCTTATCATTAGAATGACTGTTCCCATATGCATCTTTCTATACAGAATATTTTCAAATATGTTTATTGTAAAAATATATTACTTTTCTTTGACAGATATATTAGTTGGAGTCATCATCAGGAAATATTGTTCAGGTGCGTGTATCTATCAGTGAAGAAGCAAGACCTAAGTATGCTTGACAGTGTTATGTAAAAATACGAAATATTTAGCAAACACATACATAAATATCCTTTTCTGTATTTGATTATTGAAAAATAGTGGATATAGTTTGGCTTTTATCTGTAATAACACTAACGGTAACAAAACATAGAAAAATGGAACAAGTAACTTGTTTATACCGTGAATCATCCAATGTTTACCTTTCTGTGAAACTGGCAATTACAAAAACTGGGAAGGAAAATCCTGTTTTCACATACTCCAATGTTTCTAGAGAACTCTTCATAGGACTATGAAGAAAGGTTGGGGTTTTTTAAGACTGTATGGAAAAGTTTTGTTCTTTTTTAATTTATTTTACATTTCAAGTGTTAAAAAAAAGAGTAGGAAAAGGCACTTTGATTTAAAAGAATTGTTTTGTGATGTTTAATCTGCAAGATGTATGACTGAGGATATGTGTGGGAGCAGGTTTGTAATTCCCATCTTTCCAAGTCTTTTTTAAGATAGGATCTTTAAAGTTTCCAATTCCAAATACTCTTAAGTTTAGAATATGAGACTTTTCAAATTATTGGGCCTCAAGGATGCCAATTTACATAGCTACATGGAAAAGGTTTCACTGATTTAATTACAATATATAAATAATTTCGTTCTAACTAATGGTTAAATCAGTTTTATATCACCATCTAAAACTTTACAAGGCACCAGACTCTCAATGTAGGTAACAACCACTGATTATTCAATTACATAGATGGCCTTCTAGCACTAAATGCTCAGTGAAAATCCATAATTGTATGTGATTCTGATGTACACCAGTTGGAATGAGACAAATGTAAAGAAATCACAAGCATGTAAAGATTGGGGAGTTTGGTTGGGGGTTTTTTCCTCTCTCATAAAAGGAACAGTTATCTACAGGAAGATGTATTTACCAATTTAAAAATGCTCCAAGGTCTGGAACTTTGAATGTTAAGATGAAAGCAATTTTTATTTTCACATCACGTATAAATGTGGTACAAATCAATTCTGTTCTAGGTTTTTGTTTCAGTGGAGTTCCACCCACTTATTTGCAACCTATGAAGCTCACAGAGTATTTTATAAGAATACTTGCTTAGATTTTCACAGCTGCCCATGGCATTTAGAAACATTAATTTTTGTGGAAAACACTCTCCCCAAAAGAACATTGCCTATATGAAGAGAATTTTATGGAGAGTATAAAACCCCTATTTTCTGATATACCATCAGAATTCCAGTTGAGTTGAAAAGCGGTACAACAAACTTAAACCTAGTTTGGGTAGCTCACATATATAACTGGTAATTTTATAGGTGTGAAAACTAATCATTAATTTTTTTCCAGTTGCACAGATGATGCATGCAGATATATACTTGATTTTGGCTTCTTGTACATCTAACTTACTATAAAATGGTTATCTGTGCTTATTGGCATAGTATCAGCCTCCCAGCCATGCATTAAATGATATGACAAACTTCTGTTCATCTATTTCTACATCCATTCTCTCAGGACAGATGTCTGTGAAATGTTCTGATTTATTTTGTTGTTTGTTTTTTTTTTTTTAACTTATGTATATTTAATATGAGAAAACAATTGATACGTGTGACCGTGTTCTTCAGTGCTTATGTTAACAAAGCCAAAGCAGAAAAGTACACTTTGTATGTAAGTAGAGGGATTTATTATTTTTTCATGTTCTCAACAGAAATCCTCCTGATATCTTATGCTGCTCCCAAAGAATGGACATGCTGAAACAAAGACCAACACTCTAAACTTACTCTCATATTAAGGCAAAACTTAGGAATACTAGGTCGAATGGTTGCAAGTCTTCTGCTGCAACTAATATATTTATAAAATAGTATTTTCTTACTATTACAACTCAAACACAAGTCAACAAGACTATGCTTACAGAGTAAAGTAATTTAGAACAGTAAATCTATCCAGTCAAAATTCATCTTAACAGGTATTGCATAGCCCTCTGTTCATAGAAAAGCTCTGTAGCAATGAGATGGCCAAGTTGTATAGTGTCAGGCACAAGTACTGAGTAATTCCATGGCCCAGTCCAACTCCCACTGAGATTCAGGAGATTTTGAATGAGACTGTAGAAGATCCTGAAAAATCATTTGACATTTTATGTCATTGGAATGACAGGGGAATTTCTTGCCTGCCCACAACTGAATGTAAATTTAAGAGAACAAAGAATACTGATCAAGATCTAGCTGTATAATTGAGTGAAAGCAAACTTACAAGTAGCAGGCAGATGCCAGTTTAGACAATTTTATTTTTTACATTAAATAAGCAGCAAAACATTAGTGTTCTGCTTTGTTTACATTTATCACTGCCATATGTCAAATTAGGAAAAAAATTCCCCTTAGTCAGAGTGGTATTTTGGAACATGAGCTGTGAAATATTTTCAAATACAGAATGATGCAATTTAACAGAAACTACTGCAGAACCTAACCGTAGCACCTTAATTGATCATCTTGAAATTTTTCTTAAATAAAACAAGATAACTATATTCCAAACTACTTTAAAAGTAACTTTTCTTTTAAATTCCATTTTTAATATACATTAATTATTAACATGAACCATAAAGAGTTAGGAAAAATAGGCACAAAATGTTAAAAAAAAAAAAAAAAGAAAGAAATGCGCAGCAATCCTTCTACTCAAAGGCCCTGTTAATCTTTGGCAACAGTCATTGAATGTGACTGAGTGGCTTTCTACTTTGCATTTCTAAGTTTCATCACGTATGTCCAAACACAGTAATGCTGATAGTTTATAAGAGAATCTACATAAATTTTAGTTACTTGTCTCATAGTCTCTTCTCAACAGATACATTTAATCCCTTCGCTTTTTTACAAATGAAGGTTTGGGTCAATGGAAGAACATATTACATGCACTTAAAATTAAAGAGACTGAAATAAGGCACCCACATTCTAAACTGTCACATTTAAATGTTGGTAAGATAATTCTCCTGATAATAGCTTCAACCTTCCACATTAAAAATATTTTGGCCAAAGACCATGAGACTGCATTCGCTATTTATCTTTGCGAGATAACTGTGCAAATTTATTAGCCCAATATTTATGTAGAATTCAGTGTTTTAATAATAAGATCTTCATGTGTAAAACCAGCACAATGAGGTGAACAATTTGGACATGAACACTGTTCTTCACACATCCCTGTGAGACTCGGGGAGTTCCAAGATTCTCTTACCCAAGCAAACGCTCACACCAATCAAACATCATACCATGTTTTCCAGAAAGAAATTAAGCAAGGAAAATAAGGGCTTAAAATTGTTTGTCTGGTTTTTAAAAAAAAAAAAAAATCATCAATTTGCATGTTCTTGCATAGCAAAAAAAAAAAAAAAATTCAGCATCACTACTTAGTAGTTAAAAAAAAAAATTAAGCATATTAAAAATAGGAGGCCAGGCATTCTGCATCTAAACTGGAAGCTGTCTATAAACCTATCATTTGCAAACTAGCCAACTGCAAATCGTTTTTTTGACACTGTTTCATATCCTAGTTCCTACACAGATGTTAGAATGATTTGGGGACCAAACTAGGACACATTAAATGTGCTATTTTGTTTGCTATGAGAAATCCTTCTAGATTGCAAACAGGTAACTGTTGAGTTTGCCAACCTATCACTGCTTTCCAGAAAGGCAAGCAAATAAATTTTAACTTCAGTGGCAGAGCTATTGAAATTGTTAAACAAACAGAACTAAACTGATTTTGGCTTTATTTCAAACACTGAAGGTATGCACTATTTTTCAAAATCAGATAAACAGGCAAATGAATTTTAGATTTAGTGCTATACTGCAAGCAGGTTTATTAGAATTATGACCTCATTGAAAATACTGCTAGCCTCCCAATCCAGAGAGAGTCCCAAACTAAAACCTTCAGCTAAAAATATCTTGAACTACAAGGAATCTCAAAATCTAAGGGAACTTGTCCTGAATGGAACCAAAATCCTAGATTCCAATGTGGGTCCATGTTTGTTTGTGCTTCCATACCTACTAAAGGAAGTACATTTTGAATGCTACAGTATTTACTTGGGCTGTTACCAGTTGGTGGACAAAATCCTCAAGCCCAGACCTGAAAGAGAAGAAATGAAGAAAACACTTGACATCAGGACATGCTTTTGCTGCCTCTCACTTGCAGGCTCCTGCCGTTCTGATGAGAAGGGGCTGAAACGACACCTCAGTTGTAAGCCATCTGATTCTGGCTTGAATTTTACTGTCATCTGCATTTTGGCGCTTGACAAAAGCCCTATGATTAATAAAAAGGCAGCTGTGCTTGCTTCAACATTTCAGTTCTACAGTCGCTGTAGCAGCCGCCTTGTCACCGAAAAAAAATTAACGTTATTAACGCTTCTCCCCGTCCCCGCGCCATCGCCCTTTCCAGGTGTCGCTCCGGGCTCCCCGGGGGAGCGCGGGCCCGCACCGCCGGCGGGGATGCTGTCTAGAGAATAAAAAAAGCACCGGCTCGGCCGAGATGCCCTCGCTCCGCGGGTCCCAGCCCGGAGAGCGGCGGAAACCCGGCGGTGAGAGAGCTCCCCGCCGGCTGCGCAGGCACAGCGTTCAGCGGGGAAGGGTCACTGGCGGGGCCGGGCTGCCCTCGCCCCTCCGGGCGCGCTCGGCCGCGGGGCTGCGGGAGCGGCCCCACCGGCAGAGGGGCGGGGCCGGGCCGCGGAGGGGGCAGGGCCGCCCGCCGCAGTCACCTCGCACATACCGCGCCGGGAGGAGGGAAAAGGGCCCCGCTCCGGCGGAGGGATACAGCCCCACGTATATATCCGGACGGCGCAGGCTCACAGCCCCAGCACTCTGCGAGCCGCGCCGGGAGGAGGCAGCAGCCGCCGCCGCCGCTCGTGGTCGCGCAGTTCGTGCAGCCGCCGCCGGGCCCGCCATGGTAGGGGCTCGCTCGCTTCGCTGGGCGCGGCACGGGGCGGCCGGGCTGGTGCGGGGGCAGGCGCGCAGGGGGCTCGATGCGGAGCCGGGGACGGTCGGGTCGGAAGAGCCGGGCTGTCCCCGGAGAGGAGCGGGGAATGGGGTGGGGGGAGCCCCGCGGGAGCCCTTCCCGCCCGGATCCCCGCGGGGCGAGCGGGCTGGTGGTTGCGGACGCCTCCCCTCCACCTCCCCGCCGCGTTTCGCGGGATCGCCGCGGGGCTGCGGCCCTTACTCATCCGCCGCTTCCTTCCCGTTTCCTCGGGCCTGCCGTGTTGGCGCCCCGGCCCCGCGCCCTCCCGCCCCGCCTCGCCTCCCCTCCCCTGCGGAAAGGGCCGGGCGCGTCTCCCCGGGGCCGCGGCCCCAGCGCCGGGCAGGGCGCGTTGCGGGGCGGGGCGCGGGTCTGCGGGCGAGGATCCCGCTCGGCTCCGGCACCAGCTGCACTGCGCAGGGAGCGGGGGGGCGGCCGGGGGAGGGCACCGCGCTGCAGCTACTGCGCCCCCCCCATCCCCCAAAAAAAACGCAACGGCGGCGGCGAAGCCCATCGCTGTCTGCATTACATCATGTCTCCTCCTCTTCCTCCCGGCCCCCGCGCACCCCCCGGCCGCGGGGGACCGGGGCGCAGTGCGCGTTGCTCGGTTGGAAGCGGCCCAGCGCCCGCATGGGGGGCTCGGAGGAGGGGGTGCAGCCTCCCCTCTCCCCGGGGGCTGCGGGGGAAGAGCCGCTGCCTCCGCTACCCGGGGGAGGGATGGGGAGGGAGCCCAGACGCCCTCGCGGCTGAAGGATGAGGACGTGGTGTGGCCCCCGGCTGGAGAGGGAGGGAGGGGAATCGGGGACGCACTGCAGCAGTGGGTGGCTGCTGGCCGGGAAGGGCGCCTGTTGCGCCGGCGGGCTGCGAGCCTCCCGCCCCGCCGGGCCGGCGGTGCCGCCGGAACGCAGCGCAAAGCATCCTCCGGGCGCTGCGGGGCCAGCCCGCGCTCCTCGCAGGAGGGAGCCAGAGGAAGGGCTGGGGGTTTGCCGGTGACTTTTCGCTTCCGACGAGAGCGGCGATACAGTTGCAGGCTGACCTCTAATCGCTTTTTGGCAATCTGGGTGTTCCTCGGCTCTGTCTCTGCATCTCCCCTTCCCGTAGGAGAAGGCTGACATCACCAGGACAGGATCTGATGACTTGGCTGGGTGGGGTGATGGCTCCAGCCCTGGGTACCTTTGTCCTGTAGCTGGGGCGAGCGGCAGTGGCTGTGCCTGTTGCTCGGGAAGGTGAACCCTTAGCGGTGTAGAGTCGGGTTGGGTGCCTCGGGCATCGCCGGGTGTGCGAAGGTTTTGAGGGGTTTTGTTTGGGTTTTTTTCTGTTTTTGTTTTTTGAATTTGAAATACGATTTTTAGAAACGTTCAGCGAGCTCCGACTAATGGGGCAGTGAGCTGGTGCTGTGGGCTGGAGGTTTTTTGCCGAGGTGTGGCTCTGTTTCCTGTTCTGCAGGGCACTGAGTCTGTTATGTAAATTCCTTAGATAATCTTTAAGTAAAAACCTCGCATTTTCTGGAAAATCACAAAGAGTGCAGGAAGTCGAACTGGATTTTGAACACAAGCCTTCTGCTGTTATTAAAGAAGATTTATTAAATTTGAACTCTGTCTTTAGCTGGTACTGTTTCTACCCTTTTCTCCCTCACTCAACATACTGTGCATATAGGGAATTCTTTAATCGTTACATACAGACATAAAAACAAACACCACCACCCCACCCTGCAACATCTAATTACAGGTGAAATCTGTGTATTTCCCTTTACATAGAGAGCAGATTTTCAACCCTGCCCTATTCTCCTGTGCGTGAGCTTAGCAGATTGTGTAGCTGATTAATTCTCCGTTGGATTTGTTGGTCTTTACTGCAGTTAAGTGCTTTTCTGCTTAAATAATAGTATTTTCGGACAATAAAGGTGCCTACTTTCTCTGATGTACAAAATTCTGTGTTCTGTTGGTAAGAAGTCCAATAAAATGAGTTTAAGAGTAGTTAGTGCCTTGTATTCTCCAGTATCTGTGATTAGGTGTGTAAAACCCTCTTTTTTTCCTCCTTTCTTAATTACTAGAAAAAGGCATATTTTTCCATAAAGAACTGGTTAACTCCTTTGAGTCCAAACAGTGGAGCTTTTTGTGATGCTCTATCCTAGATAAGGGAGAGGCTTCTGGAAGGATGTGACTAGCACAGTTTAGCTCTTGAAAGCCTGTTTGATTGCCTGCAGGGCTGTATACCTCTGGATGCCACAGTGGCCTCTTGATGTACAGAAGGTCATAAGCAGATATTTGAAAACTTACCACCTAAAATTATGTATAAAACAACCCGTATATCATGATGAAGCACCTTAAACTGTTTGGCTGAGCGGGAAAAATATGATGCATGAAAACTGTCATTTTCTTTGTCAGAGGTGGCAAAAATCTCCGTAATACCAAGTTGTAGTTCCTCCTAATATTCCAGGAGAGCCCTTTCTGTGGAGCTCACCAGGGCCGGTGGTTGCTGCAGTGAGGCGGGGAGGGCGGGCAGGGCTGGAGCGGTGGGCGGCATGTCAGCCCACGCGTGTGCAGATCCCCCCACGCACTGCTGGGGCACTGTACTGCGTGTGATGCGAAACCCCAAACACATGTCATTAAGGATTTCGTGCCTCTCTGACCAATTGCAAGGAGCCTGCCTGTGTCCTTCACTGGACCAAATTGGATTCACCAAGTTGCAGGATGGCATGTCTGCTTCTTCATATGCAGTTCCGAAAGAAGTTAGCTTATATGCATTTGGAAACAGCTGCGTGGTGTAGGTGAGTGGAGTCTCCTTGCAGAGGCAGAATTCCAGGGTTTGCAAGTGGCTTGTGAAGGTAATGATAAATCACTGCTGAAATTTAAAGGAAGTGCCTCATGGCTTGACATAGCTAGAGATGAACAGTATTCTAAAATGTTCTATTCTTCGTGTAGGCTGATCAACTGACTGAAGAACAGATTGCTGGTAAGTGTTTTGATGAGAATTTTTTTTTTTGCTAACTCTTGTGACTAAAAGAAAATAAATTATCTCAAACATAATGGAAAAAAACATTTTTGACAATTTTACGTCTGTTACTAACACTGTTCTGGAAAGCACTCACTTGAAACCAAACTAGAAAAAACAAACAAAAATGTTCTGGAATATTACTGGTTCGTTGCCTCTTAATTTAGAGTGCTTGTTCCTCGGACTACAGATAATGATTTTTTTTTTTTTAAACTTTCAAACTTGAGCCAAGTACTTCTAGATTTCCTGCAAATAGAAATAATTGCTAGACTCAAATGCACTACTTGGAGTCAAAGCAGACCTAGGTAGTCTTTAATGAAGTGAAGATAAACTAGAAGTGAAATGGCAACAAATAAATCTCAGATGTGTTTATTGCACATTATTATAAACCAGTGTCTTTTAAATGAAACTTTTAATAGACTACCTGTAATTCAGACTGGTTAGGGAAGGAGGAATGTTATTTGACCTTTTGTAGACCCACTTCTGGCTGACACTAATTCCTGTTGTCTGCTGCCTTAAAAATAGGTGGTAAATGACAACACTTTTGTTCCTATAAGTCTGTTAATGGTAAAGGGAACCCAGTGGGTCCTTTCACTTACTGCAAACAGCTGCTGTTTGTGAAACAACTGTGCCTCAGGCAAGATGCAGATGCATGGAAATGCGTTATGGAGTTGTTGTAATGCAGATAATAGCCACATGAAATAAGTTTGAATATACTGTGCAAATTGTGTTGGTACTGTAAGTAATTTTTTTATTGGTATTTGAGTGTGTTCATTTTCTCAATACATGAACAGTTAGATAAAATGAGAAAATATTTCTTAGAATTTTACCAGATCTTGTCAGTGGAGTGTGTTTTTCATATGTGATTTTTCTCATGCTTGTGATGTAACTAAACACTGGGACTGTTTCTGCCTCTAGAATTCAAGGAAGCCTTTTCCCTATTTGACAAAGATGGTGATGGTACTATCACAACAAAAGAACTGGGGACTGTCATGAGGTCACTGGGTCAAAATCCAACAGAAGCAGAATTGCAGGATATGATCAATGAGGTAGATGCTGATGGTAAGTGTTGGAAAGGTGCTGTGATCATCTTAAATATGTATGACCTCCACACCTGGGCTTAGACTGCATAGGGAAGACTGTGACGTTGACCCCTTAAAGCAGTTCCAAAATGCTTGATAGAATCTAAACTCAGAAGGTAGTCAAAGATGCTAGCAGCATTAGTGAGACTGCAAAAAGGGGGGGATGGGCAAAGTTATGCTATTTGTCTTTAATATTTTATGGGTCACAGGCTTCCTATTGCTATCTGGCTTGCCCTGACCTGATGTTAACCTGTCTTTCCATCCAGCTTTTCTGTACGTGTTTTTTCAGCCCATGTTGTTCTTGATAACTTTACCAATATTTGTGGTAGGAGTGGAATAGTGTTTTCAATTTTTGGAAGTTTAGCACAACAGGAAGAGACTATATAGTCTATATAATGTATTAGACCCCCTAATAGATGGGGGTATAGGGGAAGAAAACCCTTCCCACATGAAGACTAACAAAATTATTTTAAATGCATACCAGAAAGGGTCACTGCACATTTTGTTTCTGAAACTCCACATGGGCTAACAGTTACAAAAAGGAAAAGTGCTTTTTCACTGATGTCGAGTCTTTGGTCTCATATTGGTTGTGACAGTGATTTTTTCTTTAACATCGTTGTAAAAGAAGAGTGAAAGTGTATTGGCAAGAGTATAAATTGTCTGAGTATCAGGATACGTTATTTAAACTACTTTCTTAAAAGTGCAAATTGACCTTAATTGATAAGTCTTTGCAAATAATGAAAAACTTCAGGGTTTGCAGTGGTACTCAGAGGTTGTGTATAGTGACTTCTCTAGGCTGCAGAGCACAAGGCTGTTCTGGTAGATTTAAAACAAAAGGAGACTGAGGACTTCAGATGAGTATGCCTGCCCATCTGTTTAAATTTGGTTTACGGCAGAATGCTTGGCTGTTATTCTACGTGTTCTTTGAGGATTTTTCAAAGCTGAGTATGAGATGTACTCATATTCAACTGGTACATAAAGCTGGCCACGATAATAAATAGCTGTGTATGTCTCAGGCTGGAATCCTTAGGATGCAAGAGTTTTCTTAAACTGCTTTTATTTAGCTGCTTTACTGTGTTTACACTATGAGTTTGAATTCTTTCAAGCAATGGGTAACTCTTAGTTGCAGAGTAAAGTATTTAATTCAGTTTCGTGAACTATTTAATGTGCCTTTTTGGCATATAAAGCTGAATCCTGACTATGCAAATCTAGTTTTTTCACCATACCGATTTTCTTCTAGCTTTGAGCAGCTTGAAATTTGCATTGTTACTTTTCATTCAAAGCTTAAAAATCTTAGGGGTGAGGCCTGGATGTTAAACAAGGATTTTCAGTTTTGCAGTCAAATACCTATAAGAACACCTACAGCTAAGATTATTGGTAATAACAAATAGTAGCAGCCTTTCTCTTGTCATTGGAATTTGCAGATCCTTGTTGCCCCCTTAAAATGGTGCATTGCTTTTGTGGTGTACAGTTTGGGTTGCTAAGGCAGTTGATTTTTAGAAAGAAACAACTACTGATGTGCAGTTTAGTGAAGTGTAGTTCTCCAAAATTTTAGATAACCTGGATTTGTAGTGCCAGCTTTATTATACATTTCCTTCTGGAGTATTCCATAGCAATTGAGAGATTCTAAAGAAACTAAAAGATTCATTTTTATGGGAGTGATTTGAAGTAAAGATGAGTCTTATCTTTTAAGACTGGAGCATCAGACTGACATTTTACTTGCAACCTAGGTGGCAAATGGTATGGCTTGACCTGGAGAGAAGGCAACAGTTGATTTCATTGTGCTGAAACAGTGACTGCTGTGGCTACTGCACACTGTAATACAAAAAAAGGCAGTGGTAGCAATTTAGAGAGAAGAACCAGTTCTTCTATAAGTATAGTTAAAAGAGGATCTGTCAATCTTGGCTAAGTAAAATGCCAGATTTTTTTTTTTAATAAAGAACAGCATGGAAGTTTAATTTTTGGAAGTTTTTTTCTATTAAGGCAATGGCACTATCGACTTCCCTGAATTTTTAACCATGATGGCCAGAAAAATGAAGGACACAGACAGCGAGGAAGAAATCCGTGAGGCATTCCGAGTCTTTGACAAGGTATTAATAAATTACAACTACTCTTTAGAAGCAATAATGTTTATATTTTCCTCAGTATTTTCTCTCTTCTTGTCTAGGAGGAGAAAAAGTCCTCTAGTAGAAGCAGAGGAATTAGAAACAGAGTAGGGACTGTTCTGAAAATAGACCAAGGACTGTTCAGGCTGATTCTGCCTGCTTTACACAACAAATATAAGCTTAAGTCTCATCTATGAGGAAAACTTTCTGACCTTTCCTTAGGAACAGAGATTAGCAGAATTTAATGCTTGGGGAATGTTGGGGGTTTTTTTGAGGGGTGTGGGTGGAGGGGAGGATTTTTCTGTACCTTTGGACTTTGGGGGGGAGTGGGGAAACATTTGCATGGATGCACAAGGTTTTATACTACTTTATGGAAGCTTTTAAAGTCAAGATGATGTCATCAGTATTTAGAGGGACATGAAGTGTTGCATGTTTTGTTTTCAGCATGTGAACTTTGAAGTTGCTTTCATAAAAACTTAAGGAGGTCAGCTTCCTCCACCTTGTTTAAGGGTACTTGAGCATATGTCAGTTTTCCAGAACAAGGGTTCCCCTCTTTGGATTGTTTGGATATGACATGTTATAAGAGAATTGTGTTGAGTAGTGCGGCTGGTGCAGCTGCAAAGCTAAAGCACACACATGTGTGGAAGAAGGCCTTTCTACTACTTCTTATAGAAAAAAGTGTTAGTTTCTAGTACTTAGCTGAAAATATGCTAGAAGTTACTTGGTTAGTACTTCATCTACCCTGTGGGGTTCTTTCTGCAGACTAGATCAGTGTTTAAAGCCACTGAGGTAGGTTATCTGCTGGTGATGACCAGGTCCTGCTCTCAGATAATGTATTCTTCCAGTATATGGGATTTCTGAGGTGGCTGAGAATGAGATTAGGTTTAGGTATTACTAATGGAGACACTAGCTTAGAAGTCATTCCCCCTTTTTTTTCCCCCACAAAACTTTGCACAACTTCTTATGAATAAAGTTTAAATACTTTCTTTGATTTCATTCTATATTATCTTATCCAAGAAGCCTGACATAACACTATCTCTACAACCACAGAGTGAAGGTGGCTAACACAGAAGAGAAAGCTGACTTTATTCCTGGTGGTGAAATGGGTCTCTCTTTGGCCTTGCTTAGGCAGCAGAGACTAAACAAAAACTTTGTTTCTTTTTGTTTCTGTGTTTATTTATGAAAGCTCTTTAAAAGCATTAAAAATACCTTATCACAAGGACAAGTCAGGCATGCAGTTGTTATTACAGCACAGTAATTGTATAGAAGGATATGGTGTCATGGATGCCTCATAAGGCAGTGGGACTTGTACATACTGCAGTATGTACAGTTTGCCAGGTCTGTACATCTGTCCCAAGTGCCATGAGGCTAATTCAAAAGCACTTACTGGAAACCTAGATGTACTTTCCAAGTTAATCAGTGTCGGGATTGTCGTTCATGGTCTTGTGCAACTCTTCTCTCATAGGATGGCAATGGCTATATCAGTGCAGCAGAACTACGTCATGTTATGACAAACTTAGGAGAAAAGCTAACAGATGAAGAAGTAGACGAAATGATCAGAGAAGCAGACATTGATGGGGATGGGCAAGTCAACTATGAAGGTAAAAAGATGCTTGTCTTGACTCAAAACCGTTACTCAGACTGAGGAAGACCTGTTGTATAGGACATTAATTTTTGATACTTGAGACACTGGTTTATTTGCTTGTCCACTTTTGTGGACAAAACCTTGGATGCAGTGAAAGGTGCTTTTTTATGCCAATTGTATTTAAGACATTTTTGAGTTGAAGTACTCTAGAGACAGTAAATCACAGCGACTTTTTTATCTTTTCAGAATTCGTACAGATGATGACTGCAAAGTGAAGAGACCTCCTTTACACCTTTTTTCCTCTAGAAGAATCAAATTGAATCTTTTACTTACCTCTTGCAAAAAAAATGTTCATTTATTCATTCTGTTTCTGTATAGCAAAACTGAATGTCAAATTACCTTCTGTCCACAAACTGCATGTAATGGTTGGTGGTCCTGTCCCCAAAAGATAAAGTTAAACATCAGTTTTACAATATAAATAATTGTACTACCTTGAAAATAAAAAAAAAAAAGGAAGCACTTAGTGAACTCAGAAGTTCCATTTGCTAATGACTATTACACTGTTTGGGCTGGCCAGTTTTTCATGCATGCAGCTTGACAATTGAGCACAGTCAGACATGTGTATTAAAAGGAAAAAAACAACCTAAAGGATCCACTCTTTTGTTCAATAGTGGATTCTAGTTCAATTTGTAGTGTAAATTGTCATAGCTGGTTTACTTTAAAATTGGTTTATACCTCAGGATGGTATGCAGCAAAATGGTTGAAGGATGCAAAACTTAAAGAAAATGCCCTAAAGGTTGAATGGTTCTCCTGTACGTAGCAGTGTGCTCCAAAAATACGATGATCTTAACTATGGGTGGCATGTCTGTGTTAAAATACTGGTTTAACATTGTCTGCATTGCACTATAGTGAAACGGGTGTCAGGCTGTTACCGTTCACAAAATTTTTAAAAGAAACCTTCACCAAGGGAGCATCTTTGGACTCTCATGTTTTTAAAACCTTCTGTACCATGACTTGGAGCTGGCGGAGTAGCCTGTGGACTTCAGCACAACTATCAACATTGCTGTTCAAGATATTACAATTTATGTCCATTCCAAGTTGTAAATGCTAGTCTTTTTTTTCCAATAAAAGACCATTAACTTAAAGGTGGTGTTAAATGCTTTGTAAAGTTAAAATATATATATATAATTGAGATAATAAACCAAAAAAGCAGTAGGAGGGAAGTGTTTCTATGAATGACTTGCTGCTAAATTATAATGCACATGTATGCAATAAGTTATCCCCTATCTTTTCAAGATGGCAAGAACTGACCTCCTGTAACCCAAGACCTTTGCTATAAATAAATGAACTTGTGCTTGCCTTTCATATTACGACAATGTTAATTTAGTTGGTCTCAAAGTCGTGTAATGCTGACTCGTCAACTATCAGCACAGAAGTAACACCTCATTTCACTACAGTGGAGAGCTCTGAGCATGCATGTCAATACTGGGGAAACATGTATAGGTTGCTTATTCTTTTTGACAGGTTATAGAAACTAGTTGAAGAATTTAAACAGCATGGACTTCATAGATATCTATGATTCTCAAACATGCCAAAAATGCATTTATCTACCCACAGAAAGAAAACAAAAGGACATTTTACAGTATGTACTAAAAAAACCAAACTAAGCCTTTTTGGAAACTGGGGCTATTATGTCTTGACTTATCTTCTCAAACACTTGCATGAATTTTGTGGGGTGGAGAAGAGGACTAGGGTTAATTTAAAAACGATCTTGTTACTTCTGCTTTGCATGCACTAGCAGTGCTTAGTCATTCCAGTTCTCTGAATAAGTGTTCTCTGATCCTTCAGCTTACCCATGAATGAGTGGCAAAGCAGCCGTGTGCAGTCTTCTTTGTCTGAAAGAAGAATGCTTTTTCTCTCTTTTTTTTTCTTTTTTTTTTTTTTTTTTTTTAGCATCGGAGCCTCCATGTGGAAGGCTTTTATGCTTGGGAGGGAGGGATTACTGCATAATCACTTGACTGTAAGTTTGTTTCCAAATGTAACTAGAGTTGCAAACCTTAATTGCTTAATTGCCTTTGGTTTTGGAGAGTACTGATACTATCTCTTGGAAAAGATGCAAGTCTCCATTCATCCTGTCTAACTGAGGTGCCTGTGTTAAGAACTTGGTTGCTTGAAGTACGGCTTTGCTCAGTGAGGTGTCAAGAGACACCTCCAGAAGGCAATTGAGACTATCTGCCTTCACTGATATTTTTATTCTTTTCCTGGGGGGTGGGGGGAGACCTGGGTGACTAGGGACCCAGACACCTTAACAAAGTGCCTAAGGTTAGATGGGCTGAATGCAGGCAACTGTTTAGATATCATTTGTTGCAAAGGCTGATTGCTGTGGCTGCTGTCTTAACAAACTGGCCACATGATGGGAATGTCTGACTACCATTTGAAAGTGGAGTCTTGCATAGCAGCTGCAAACTGCTACTTCAGTAGTGCTTGAGAATGGCTGCACTGATTCTGTAGACCAGCTTTTAAAGAGAACATACTCAAGAGACAGGCAAGGTAGGAGCAATGGTTGCAGCTCTGAACTAATTACTTCTGCCTGAGTGTGCAGAGATCTTGTCTAGTAGGTAAATGCTTCTTACCATCTATCTGTCATTCACTCACGGTTGGTAGGGTAGTTCATTTAAGAACAGCTGCTTTTAGCTTATTCAGTGTGCCCTGTGCTTGCTAGCAAACAGACCTCATTCTGCAAGAGGTTCTTGGCTTGATTAGAAATTGTCTGGCAGTGTGCAGTGTTGGTATGCCCTGTAACTGAATCTGCCTGGAGGTATCTAATTATTAACTGACTTCAGTACCACATCAACCTCGAGTAAATGTATCCTCTGTACAGGACTTTAGCTCTGTTCCCTTCTGCATAGTGAATATCTAGAAAATGAAATGGTGTCATCGAGGTCTTTTTTATTTTCTTTTTTACTTTTTTTTCCTGTGAGCGTGTGTGTGTGGCTTTGGCTTTTTCCAAATGTGAAAGTGTGGGCTGGATACACTTGGTGCATGGCTTAGAAACATGGGACTGGAAAGAACTTCCTGGGTCATCAGATCCAGTCCCCTGCTATTGCAGGCAACCGTGTCATATAATCCTTTTAATAAACTGATCAAGCTTAAACACCTGCTTGTAAGTGGCTTGTTTTCATGGAAGTTCTGTAACTCATGTTGCTCTCAACTGATGCAAGTAATATATGAAATATGAAGTTAATCAAAAGGTCCTCCAGCTTAGCTTTAGGTTTATCATTACATTTATCTAACTGACTTTCTTGAACCTGTTACTCTTTGCACAACACTCAGGAAAGTGTTGAATCTTTACACTCCCTTGCTATGAATAAGAGTTGGTGTGCTTGCTTATTTTTTTTAATGGAAAAGATGGATGTCTGGCTTGTTGAAACCTGTTAGATATGTTAATTGTCAAGGCAAGAAACAATTGAGTTACTTGTATTTGATACATAAATTTAAGGTTAGAGTATACATAACCATTTTTAAAACACATCAACTTGCAGTGTAGTTTTATATTTAATACTGAAATTGTACTGCTAAAGTTTAAACTGCTGTTAATCATATTCCTCTTCTGATCATAATGAAAAAATAAAGGGTAAGAAAATGCTTAACATAGATTATTCATTATCATGCTTATTTTATTAATAATTTAGGCATTGAAACGTCTCCAGGTATGGGGCATCTGTTTGGTGGGGTGGGGTGGAGCAAGGGGTGGGGAGGGTTACTGATGTAGAAAATTCTTACCCCCCCTCAACCATTTGTCACAGACATAAAAAACTGTTCAAGAAATTTATTGATGCATTAAATGCACGTGTGGGTGTGTGATCTGTGGGCAGTGCACACTGCTGAGGCTGCCAGCCCCTGCACCCTGTCCAGGCAAGTGCAGAGCGGGGTCAGAATGTATCTTGGTCCCTGTATTGCAGCACGTGTGTGAAAGCAGATCCTTGTTCCCAGGATCCATCCTAAGCTAAAACCACAGTCTTGGGGTTTAGAAATGTCAGAGTTAATACAGCTTGCTTTTCCCCTACCATGAAACTAGCACACTTGTCTTACTGCAAATCAATTAGGGTTTGGGATTTTTTCTTTGGTGGTGGTTTCTTTTGGTTTGTGGTTCTTTTGGGGGGGGGGGGGGTGGTTTCTGTTTGTTTGGTTTTGGTTTTGGTTTTTTGTTTTAGGGGTTTTTTTCAATTTAATGACTAAGTTAAATGGGACAGATAGGACTGTGGCAGAACCACAGCATGTTCTTCTGACACGCAGACATATATCTGTCAAGTGAAGAGAACCAATGCAGGCTGATGCCATGTTTTTTACATAACAGGTTTGCAATTCCAAAATAATGATGATGGGGGGTTTTTTAAAATCCAAATACAAGATTTTGAACTAATGAATTAGATGGTGAATTGTGTGAAGAACTGGACTTCCAAAGATTCTTAATGTTGTTTGCTATAGAAAATTTGTATGAAGGCTCAAGTACTTAACAGATTTTATTCATTCTAAGAACCCCTATCAGTGAGTATCCTAGAGAAGCTTCCAGAGGATGTTCGAAAGAGTTGATAATTTCTTTGATAGTAATAAATCAGTTTTCAAACTGAAGTGGCCAAATATTCCAATAAATGGCAGAGCTGCTAATTAGGTAGACACTAAGAGGACTTTTTACAGTCCCATGGATGATTAAGCACAGCTGTTACCCAGCAGTAAATGAGTGTATTGCTCTCCATCCTACTAGTGACTGTAAACAGGAGCAGAGCACACTTTACAGCACAGCCCTTCCAGACACCAAACTACTGAACTCCAGGAGAAACAAAAAAAACATTTGATACAAAAGAGAGTGTATTGCAGCAGGGGGTTAAATTTCTCCCACATCCCTGTGGAGTCTGAGATGCTGAGTGACACCAGCACCATATAGCAATGCTACAGAAACAAAGTTGAGGAGCAGGTCTACCAGCATTGCCACAAGTAACCCCAACAAATAGGTTGCAAGTTGTCCTTTCCAATATCCCTATAGATGCTGGACAAAGCTAGCCCTACCTGGCACTGAGTACCACAGCCTTGTTTGTGATGTCTTGTTCTCTCTGATCTTTCCTAGAAGCTTCATTGGCTGGGAAATCTTGCAGAGCTGCTTTAGTTTCAGTTGCCCTAGAAGTCAGCATCCACAGAAATACTGAAAGAATTATTCATAGTGCAGTCTTTTCCTGACAGAAACAACTCTTAAGATTGTGGTTGAAGTACAGTATGAAAACTGTGCCAATCCCCTAAAATTAATCATCATTATTTCTGAATTTTTTTTTATTTATAGGTCTCTAAATATGATGTATTTGAAAAACAGATTCTTGAACAAAAGTCACGCTTGCCCTACCATTTGCAGCATTTAAAATGAACACAATATTTGAATAGGACCCAACTGAATCAACTGAGAAATCCATAAAAAGGCATTAAACATCATTCCCCATTTTACTAGTTTGCAGTGGGATTGCCAATAACAATGCTGACAATGTAATAAGTATTCAAAAAAAGGGTATGGTAAGAGAAGTGGATAGAGTGAGAGCAAAAAGAATACTTGTGCATGGGACTTCTTTGTAGTCTTGTCTTGCAGAGTATTTGTTGCCCATACAGCTATAAATATTTGATTGTGAGCTCCCTGGGCATTAAGTTTTCTAGAAGTGGTGCTGTTACTCAGTTTGTCCAGTTTTCCTAAACCCCCATAGCTCTGTCCTGCTCTGTGCTAACTCTCCATATGGCTACCAAAGAAGATACCTTGCTCTATGATACAGTTACAAAAGCACAGCTAAAGTGTGAAAATTGCCTTGCTGATTTATTTTCCTTCAAATTAATTTGTAGAGGAAGGTAATTTCTTAAGTAGCTCAGGGTAATATTCCTTTCTATATTAAACATTTGCACATATAGAAAATACTATGGAAAAAAAATGGTCTTAGGGCTACAAACTCAAGTACTCAAAATGAAAAAAAAAACAAACAGGTAATGTTATCCATGAAAGCCCAGTTTGGCCTTTGCAAATGCGATTGCCAAACTTTATGACACTGTCTAAAATGTCCACAGCATCTTTGCATCAATGTATTAAATATTTCATTGCAATTTTCTTTTTGAATGCATTATTCCATACCCTAGTCACTACCTACTACCCAGCTCTTGTTCCAAAGTCAGAACTACTAGTTTCCTCAATTTTTCCTATGACGCTGAAGTATCTGAGTGCTTCACAAATACTGCTTTCTTTTAAGGACACACACTGCATTAAGGACATACTTTATCCTCATCGAACAGAAAGAGCTGAGGTGCAGGCACTGGAGTCCAAAGCAGTATTTCTGAGAGCTCAGTCTGAGTCATTTTCATTTGTCAGAATCATAATCATGTCTTATGTGTGGTACAAAGACATCTCGTCAGTAACAGCATCCTTCAAGTCTGCACATCAGTCCAAGCCTCTGGGTCTGGCCATTGTTGTCCAGCATGCTTAGAGGATGTGACTGCCTGACAGCTGAGTCTCACTGGTTGACCCCACCTCACACAAGGACTCCATGCAGAGACCACAAGCGCTTGTTTTCCAGGGCAGCAACGGCCTGCTGTGTCTGGCAGGTCAGCTTTCTTCTTTCGGCCCCTGTAACTCTCACTACGCATTGCCTGGTTTATGCAAAAAAAAAGAAAACCCATCAACTATGCAGTATTTCTTTCATTGCACCATACCAATTCATGCCCAGAACAGCAGGGAAGAGAAGGAACTGAAATAAACAGGGTGATTTCACGCTAATACCACAAAATATGAGGGTAAAAGAAAAACAGAGGAAAAAAGTGGCAAAAAATCCCAATTCCAGCACTTCCTAACTTAGAGGCATAACTTTGAGCTTCTGTTGCTCAGCGTTTCAATTCTGTAATTTACTACTGAGTGAAAGCAGAACTATACCCCCAGCACAGGAAATTCTCTTGTGTGGCATCATGGTGACACCCCAGTGAGTCATCATCTGAGCTGCTGCCATTGGGTTCAGAACAGACCTCTGTGACCTCTTGAGGTAACAGAGGGACAGCAAGCAAAGCTCTTCCGCTTCCTCAGCCAACCCAAAATAGGGAAAGAGTGCTTTGCCCACAGGTTTGCAGAGGAAAGGTGGATTTGGGACTGTGAGAGCAGCTCAGGGCTCTGCGGGAGCTTTAATGGCCTTATGCTTTTCCACCCGTTCCCTGTAACCATGACCCCACACCTCCTGTCCTCTGCCTGTCCTGCCCGCTCCCTTCCTCTCCATTTTATTCTCTACCCATATCAGGCCCAGCTTGTATCTCTCAGACCTTTCTAGGTTTCCTTCCACAGTCCTTGCCCCTTTTTCATCTCCGCTGTTGTGGGTTGACCGCAATGGGCAGCTCAGCCCCACCAGCCACTTGCTCGCTCCCCTCTCCAGTGGGATGGGGTAGAGAATCAGAAGGATAAAAGTGAGAAAACTCGTGGGTTGAGATAAAGAGAATTAAATCAGGAAAGTAGAAGCCACATGCATAAACAAAGCAAAAGAAGAAACTAATTCACTACTCCCTATGGGCAGGCAGGTGTTCAACCATCCCCAGGAAAGCAGGGCTCCATCCCACATAATGATTATTTGGGAAGACAAACACCATAACTCCAAACATCCCCCCTTCCTTCTTATTCCCCCAGCTTTTATTGCTGAGCATGATGCCATATGGTATGGAATGTCACAGAATCATAAAATGGTTTGGGTTGAAAGGGACCTAAAAGATTGTTTAGTTCCAAGCCCCTTATCATGGGAAGGGATATCTTCCACTAGACTAAGTTGCTCAATGCCCCATCCAACCTGGCCTTGAATGCTGCCAGGGATGGGGCATCCACAAATTCTATGGGCAGTTCCCTTTGGAGAGTTGAAGTCAGCTGTCCTGGCTGTGTTCCCTCCCTGTCTCTTGCGCACCCCCAGCCTGCTCGCTGGTGGTGTGGGGTGAGAGGCAGAAAAGGTCTTGATGTCATGCAAGCACTGCTCAGCAATACCTAAAACATCCCTGTTGCTATCAACACTTTTTGTGTCACAAATCCAAAACCCAGGACCATACAAGCAACTATGAAGAAAATAAACTCTACCCCAGCCCAGCCCAAACCAGTGCATCAGCCAATCTATTTCACTCTCTAGTAAGGGCTGCCAATGATATGTCTTCCAGATCTCCATTCCCACAAGCACCGACTTTTTATCCTAACCTGCTGATTTCTCACTAAGCCACTTTCTCCTCTGTGTTGCCTAAGACACGGTGATCCCTCAGGTCAGGGTGCAGAAGAAAATCTTCCTGTGCTCTGCTCAGGCCCCAGGTTGCAGATGTGTATCTGAGCCTTGCCTGGCTTGCAGCAGCAGAGAAGTGTGGTTGCAAAAAAAAAAAAGGTACAGCACAGGTTGCCCTGAGCTACAAGCTGGGGATACTTGGTCTGGGAGGAGGTGAGCTGTTGGAAGCCTACGCAGGCTGTGAGTTCTGGCTGTGAGGGTATATGGCACTGCCTCACCACTTTCCTGGAATCCTGCTTTCGTATTAGAAGAGTTACTACTTTTGTAAACACAAAGTGCACCACTCTTGTACCTTCTTGCATTCAAGAAGGGCATTGCTGTCCGCTTCTGCCCAG